GCAAGTGAAGATGAATGCCAGAGGACTTGGATCTCAGTTAAAGGACAGTATTCCAGTTACTGAACTTTCAGCAAGTGGACCTTTTGAAAGTCATGGTCTTCTTCGAAAAGGTGAAAGATGCAGTTTATAGTCTTTGGATTTGGAGATATAATTTGATTTATGCCTTCCTTGTGTGAAAAATGAACTTTTGCCCAGTCATCCTCTTGAATTATCAGAAAAAAATTTCCAGCTCAACCAAGAAAAAATGATTTTTTCCACACTAAGAAACATCCAGGGTCTGTTTGCTCCACTAAAATTACAAATGGAGTTCAAGGCAGTGCAGCAGGTACAGCGTCTTCCATTTCTTCCAAGCTCAAACCTTTCACTGGATATTTTGAGGGGTAATGATGAGACTATTGGATTTGAAGATATTCTTAATGACCCGTCACAAAGTGAACTAATGGGAGAACCACACTTGATGGTGGAATATAAACTCGGTTTACTGTAATCTGTTGTGCTGTTCATGAAAATAGAGGGGCTGCATGTTGTTTATAGTCATCTTTTTACTATAATTTGATGTACACAACATTAAAAGTACTGACACATGAAAAAAAAAGAAGATTTAAACAAAAAAAAAAAGGGAGAGAATGTGATCAGGCAGGAGACTAGAACAAAGCCATACACTAGTGATTTAGGGTATATTTTGATCTGTTAGAAGAAACTGTATATCAAAATTTTAAAAAGAGAACAACTTATATATATATATGCCAAAAATAAGGGTAACTACTATGAAGGGATAAAATATGACTCTAAAAATGAAAAATAAAAAAGGTTTTTTTAAAAAAGGGATTGATAAGATGTTGGTTGAAAAAGGGAAAAAGAAAAATCCAAAAAGAAAACAGTTAAAAAAATTAACTTTGAAAAACTAATGAATCATGGTAAAAAAAAGCCATGAATTCTATGTGCAGTGTTCCCCTAGCGCTGCAGTTCTCCCGTTCTCCTTGATCGGTAAACTTGGTCTTGGCTTGCTGGCTGTTCGTGCTGATCTTCTGGGGGAGGGGCCTGTTGCTGTGGTTCCCAAATGTCTTTGCGGAGGTGGAATTGCCCCGCCCTCGTCGGTCCGGGCTAAGCAAGCTGCTCGGGTTTGCTCTCAGGAGCTTTTGTTCCCTGCAAGCTCTCGGTACAGCTTTGGAGGACCAGAGTGAAAATGGTGGCCTCCCAATCTCCACCCAGAGGAGCCGAGAACTCGGGGCCCCGCTCCTCAGTGTGCCCCCAGAGAAAAGCAGTCACTCCCGTGTCCCTGGTCTCCGGCCGCACTCCGTGCTCACCCGGCCTGTGACCAAGCGTTTCTATCTCTGGCACCTGACCCCGTGTGGAGTCTCCAAACCCAGCAGATCCCTGCGGTGCGCTCCTGCGCCGCTCCTCTCCCGGGAGGAAGGGGAGTCTCCCAGGATCTGCTGCTTGTTGGGTCCCTGCTGGAGGAGCAGTGGCCCGACTGGGCCGTGGATCACAGTTTATGGCCACCCCAAGCTGAGAGCCCACGCCTCGGTTCGTCTCTGCAGCCAGCTTCCCCGCTCCGATACCTGGGAGCTCTGCCGCACTCAGGCACCCCTGGTCTTCTTGTGACCTCCTGAGACCACACTGTCCCGCAAGGGTTCCACCTCCCGCTTAGTCACTGGAGCGACGTCCCTCTGCGGAGCCGACTTCTAAAAGTTCCGCTTTTGTGCTCCGCGGCTCTATCACTTGCCAGAAGCGGCCGACGGACGTCCCCTCCCCCGCCGTCTATCCTCCCGAATATCGCCTCGGATTCACTTCTCCGCATGTCCTACCTTCCAGTAAGTGGTCGCTTTTCTGTTCAGAGATTTGTTGCTATTCTTCTCTTCGATCTCCTGTTGAGTTCGTAGTTGTTCAGAATGGTTTGATCCGTATTAAGCTGAATTCCTGAGATCAGACGAAATCCAGGTCTCCTACTCCTCTGCCATCTTGCTCCGCCCCCTCTAAAAAAGTTTTTAATGTTAATTTGTTAAAATTCGATAATTACTTTGTAAGTATATGAACCTTACTTTTGAACTTGGGTAAGAAAAGGTTCCCTACTCTAAAGTTATAAATATTTTTCTATCTTTTCTTCTTATAATTTAAATTAATATTTTGGATTTGTCTTTAATCTGGGGTTATTTTTTGTGTGGTACGAGGTAAGGTTCTAATTTTTTTATATGGGTGGCCAACTTTTTTATTCCATTTCAGATTTTTCTGATATCATTCCATCCCTGGGGGCAACCATTTGTTTAGATTTCTACCACCAGAGATTGTTTTGTCTGTTATTAGACTTCATATAAATGTATACAGAATGTGCTTCTCTGTATCTGGCTTCTTTTGTTCCACATAATGTTTCTGAGATTCCGATGTTGGTATTAATTCTCACAGCTTTGCTAAATTTTCCTATTAATGATTTTCAGTTAATTTTTGTGTTATCTAATTAACTGTCATATAACTAACATAAAACAACTGAATTTAACCTTTTTATATAAGTCACTTGCATGCACGTGCGTGTGCGCATACACACACACACATTCTTACATTGTTCTTGACTTTAATGGGGACACTTCTAATATTTCACTGTTAAGTATATTAGCTGCATGATTTTAATTGAGTTTTCTTTTCAGGTGAGGACTTCTTTAGCTGTATCATATACATCGGTCTATGCTATATGTTATATTTTATACTGATTCACTTCTAGATTTTTGTAAAGTTCTTTTTCAGTTCAACCTATGAATTATTTGGAGGTCTGCTCTTTTCATTGTCAGATATCTAAGACCTATGCTTTAGTCTATATAAGAGCTTGTTATTACGGTTTTATTGTTTTTGCATTATAATCAGTGATGTAGACTAATTTATACTTTCTGTCTTTAAGATTTCTTTGTGTTTAAGCATACAGTTTTTTATACTTTTTAAAAAGTGTAATTAACATACATGTAATTAACATGTTATATTAGTTTCAGGTGTACAGTATCATGATTCAACAATTTTATAGATTTCTCAGCGCTCATTGAGATAAGTACTCTTAATTTCCTGTATCTATTTTACCCATCCTCCCATCCACCTCCACCCTGGCAACCATCAATTCATTCTTTGTGTTTACATCTGTTTTTTGGGGGAGGGGAGTTGTCTCTTTTTTTCTCTATTTGTTCATTTGTTTTGTTTCTTAAATTCCATACATGCATGATATCATATGGCATTTTTCTTTCTGTGACTTACTAATTTCACTTAGCATTATACCCTCTATGTCCATTCATATTGTTGAAAATGGTGAGATTTCATTCTTTTTTTTTTTTAAAGATTTTATTTATTTATATGACAGAGAGAGACAGCAAGAGAGGGAACACAAGCAGGGGGAGCGGGAGAAGGAGAAGCAGGCTTCCCACCGAGCAGGGAGCCCGATGCGGGGCTCAATCCCAGGACCCTGGGATCATGACCAGAGCCAAAGGCAGACGCTTAATGACTGAGCCAGCCAGGCGCCCCAGTGAGATTTTATTCTTTTTTATGGCTGAGTAAGATTCCATCTTCCACATCTTCTTTCTCCATTCATCTATGGATGGATCCTTGAGTTGCTTCCATATCTTGCGTATTGTAAATAACGTTGCAATAAACATGGGGGTGTTTATTTTTTGGGGGGGGTGTTTTTTTTGCCGAGGGTAAATACCCAGTAGTGGAATGACTAGATCATATGGTATTTCTACTTTTAATTTTTTGAGGGACTTGCATACTGTTTTCCACAGTGACTGCAGCAATTTGCATTCCCACCAACAGTGCACAAGCGTTCCTTATTCTCCAAATCCATAGCAATACTTGTTTTTTGTGTTTCTGATTTTAGCCATTTTGGCAGGTGTGAGGTGATATCTCATTGTGGTCTTCATTTGCATTTACCAGGTAATTAGTGATGTTGAGCATCCTTTCATGTGTCTGTTGGCCATCTGTATGTTTTTAGAGAACTGTCTGTTTAGGTCCTCTGCTCATTTTTTTAAAAAGATTTTATTTATTCATTTGAGAGTGAGAGAGACAGATAAGAGCACAAGCACGGGGAGAGGCAGAGGGAGAGAGAGAGAAGCAGATCTCCCTGGAGATCATGACCTGAGCCAAAGGCAGATACTTAACCATCTGAGGCACCCAGGTGCCCCTCTGCTCATTTTTAATTGGATTACTTGTTTGTGGTATTGAGTTGTATGAGTTCTTTATATATTTTGGATATTAACCCATTATCAGATGTATCATTTGTAAACATCTTCTCCCATTCAGTAGGTTGTGTTTTAGTCTTGTTGATTGCTTCCTTTGCTGTGCAAAAGCTTTTTAATTTTGGTAAAGTCCCAGTAGTTTATTTTTGCTTTTGTTTCCCTTGCCTCAGGAGACATAACTAGAAAAATGTTTCTATGGCCAATGTCAAAGAAATTACTGCCTGTGTTTTCTCCTAGGAATTTTATGGTTTCAAGTCTCACATTTAGGTCTTTAATCCATTTTGAGTTTTATTTTTTTGTATGGTATAAGAAAATTGTCCAGGGTCATTCTTTTGCATGTAGCTTTACAGTTTTCCCAGCACCATGTTCAAGAGACTGTCTTTTTCCCATTGCAGAATCTTGCCTACTTTGTCATAGATTCATTGACCACATAAGCATGGATTTATTTCTGGACTTTATCCTCTTCTGATCTATGTGTCTGTTTTTGTTCCAGTATCATGCTGTCTTGATTACTACAGCTTTGTAGTATATTTTGAAATCTGGGATTGTGATACCATTAGTTTTGTTCTTTTTCAAAATTGCTCTGGCTAGTCAGGATCTTTTGTGATTCCATACAAGTTTTAGGGTTATTTGTTCTAGTTTTGTGGAAAATATTGCTGGTATTTGATAGGGATTGCATTAAATATGTAGAATGCTTTGGATATTTTAACAATATTAGTTTTTCCAATCCATGAGCATGGGATATCTTTCCTTTTCTTTGTGTCATCTTCAGTTTCCTTCATCCATGTTTTATAGTTTTCAGAGTCAGACATTTACCTCCTTGGTTAAGTTTATTCCTAGATATTTTATTATTTTTGGTGCAATTGTAAATGGGACTGTTTCCTTGATATCTTTTTCTGCTATTTCATTATTAGTGTGTAGAAATGCAACAGATTTCTGTATGTTAGTTTTGTATCCTGTGACCCTACTCAATTCATTTATCAGCTCTTGTAGTTTTTTGGTGGAGTCTTTAGGGTTTTCTATGTATATAGTGTCATGTCATCTGCAAATAGTGGAAGTTTTACTTCTTCCTTATTTAGTTTAGATGCCTTTTATTTCTTTTTCTTGTCTGATTGCTGTGGCTAAGACTTCCATTACTATCTTGAATAAAAGGGGTGACAGTGAATATCCTTGTCTTATTCCAGTATAGGGGAAAAGCTCTCAATTTTTGATGACTGAGTATGATATTAGCTGTGGGTTTTTCATATGTGGCCTTTATTATGTAGAGGTATGTTCCCTA